GGCTTTTAAGTAGACTAATAGACTAATTAGACCTTCGAAAAGGTTAGGCTCGGGCCAAAAAATAAGCCTATGATAGGCTCCAGGCCAAGCTTAGACTTTGTATTTTTAAGTAGACCAGACTCGGGCTTGGCAAAGTCGAACTCGACCCAGCCTATCTCCACCCCTAAATATAACAATTGTGTACAAATTTTACCATTTATATTATGGTGTGATTTATTTAAAATTAAGTTCATAAACAAGTTCAGATACGTTATACAAAGAGCATTTTAAAAAAAGTATTACAAGTATTTTCGGCTAGAGTCACTGCTACCAATTCACATATAAGATACATAACGTCTCTTAGGTTCGATGCTAATGAAATACAACATATTATCGTCTAAAAAAATATAACGCTACATAAATACCTATATAAGTTAGCGTCTAAAAAACCAACGCTACTGGATTATTAGCGGCGAAAGTGGTCGAAGCTAACATAAACCGCATTCACATTGGCCTCTCCACAAGCCGACTCTAGATGCAAAATTAGAATTCACTTTTCAATCATGTATTAGATTCCCCTATCATTTCACATAGTTGACGCTATCTAGCGTCAGCTAAACACTAATATCATCTTATAGTCTTAAGACATTTGTCATGACACTGATGCTAACAACTCTTTAGCGTCGGTTATTGGCCTTATAGAGTTGACTTTTGATCGACGCTAAATCACAATTTTCTTTAAGTGTACTATGGTTTGAAGCAAGCAGATCAAACATGTATAACATAATCAATCAATATTTTGTGGATCGAGGATTGAGGAGGAGTAAGAGTGAGCATACACTATCATTAAGTCTCAAGGTCAGTACACTCTTTTGCTCTCTCTATATGTAGATGATTTTATCTATAGGGAAAACAATACTAAGATGATGATGGAGTTCAAAGAAGACATGATGAAAACCTTTGAGATGATTGACCTTGGTTTGATGAGTTACTTCCTCGATATAGAAGTAAGTCAGAGAAATGATGGGAAATAAATACACATAAGGCTTACTTAAGCTTGTTTAGCCAGGGGGTATTTTCCAGGTGAAAATCCCCTCACTAAATGTATATGTTTCTTGAGTTGATCCCCTCGCAATACATGAAATAAAAAACAAAATAAAAAAAATGAAACTGTGTGGAGATACCCCTCGCAAATTAGAAGGTTGAATTTTAAATTTTGAAATTGAGCATTGTGAGGGGTCACCCAATGCATAAAAAAATGGTGCCATTAAAAGTGTGCATCTGCGGGGGGCAACCCCTATTCACAAATGATCATTGCATTTGTTAGGGGCATCACATCACGCCTTTGGAGATTCCCTCTGCGTCATGTTCCATCACCACTACTCAACGTGTGTGGCCTAGTGGTGAAGACTTGAGTCTTGAGAGTGTGATTCTCTCAAAATCTCGAGTTCGAATTCCGCTAGATGCAAATTACTTATTAAAAAAACTTTTAACTTTAACATAACTTTAATGATGTCTGTATTTTGTAAGGGGCTACCCCAAGTCATTTTGATACGGGCTACCCCAATCCAAATGTTTCTCCATTTTCTTCCCTCATCTTTCTTTATCTCTAAAAATCAAACCTTCTTTCATTAAAAGCAAACCTTCATCCACAAATTCTCACCATTATAAAGGTAATTTATTTTATGTTTTCTATTTCATTTTTGTTTAATTAATATTTTTTTAGTTTATATTTTATCCTTATTGATATTTTTTATTTTTCATTTTCTATTTTTATTTTCCATATTCATTATCTAAGGATTTCAAAGTTCACAAAGAGATATAAATCTAAGGTGTGCAATAGCTTTTGCTCATCCAAGGTATAATTTTCTTCTCTATTTTTTTTTTTTAATTTGTACTGAAATTTATTGATGTTGGGTGTTTATTGAAAGTTATTAAGTCTCTTAAATAATTTTTGGAGTCAAATTTAAAATTCTTTTGATAATTGTATATTTTTATTTTATTTTATTTAATAAATTATTTATTAAAATTTAATTTTCTCCCACCAACTCTTAAATTTTTCCCAATAACTTCTATGTTTATTTAATTATTATTTTACTAATTTTTATATTCCTCATTAAAACTAATTTTATCATACTAACTCCGTAATTATTATTTTACTATTTTTTATATTCTTTTAATTTTAATCATAAAATTGTGTAGTTTTTATAACTTTCCTTCTATTTTTTAAATTTAATTACATTATTAACTCTTCATTTTCTCCCACTAAATTTTATATTTATTTAATTATTATTTTAGTAATTTTTATATTCATTTTAATATTTTAGAATTTTTTTTTGCAATAACTAACTTTTGAAAAAAAAAATCGCAAATAATAATGTTTCAGAAAACTCCACAAAGGAGGAGCCAACCCAGTTGACACCTGCACTAGGCCATTTGCCCTAGGCGCTATCTCACTTGGCGTATGCTCTCTCACTTAGCCAAGTGAGATGGCGCATGCACTCTAAAAGTGAGAGGAGGCTCCATCTCACTTGCCTCCTAGGATAAAATACATTTTTTTATAAATAAGTCATTCGTTTCTCCGTCATTCTTCACACTCTCTCACACTGTCTTCTTATTTTTTTCTCTATTATTTGCGTCATGACATCTCCCGTGATTTTTATCAGAGATGGTTACGTTATTTTCTCGGCCACCAAACCCCTGATGAAAATAAAATTTTGGCACATTCACTCCATGGAGCGTTTGAAGAGAGAGTTGATGTGACGGCTAGAGGGAGACATCGAGGATGGAGAATAAATTAGAAGGATCCAGCAAAGAAGAACAACCACCTCACTTGCAACCAGAAGACCTAATTTTTGGTTGGCGGAAGTCAAAACAGACAGAGACGTAATGTTGATGATGCATGGGTCAGATGAAATTGTTTTAATGGTTGTAATTTCTTAGACGTATTATCGTGTTTTTATTTGTTGTTTGCACGAGGTTTGTTGTAACAAATGCTCTTAACGAAAAACCGTAATGTTTATAACTTAAAAAAGTAAAGATGTTTTGCATACAATTTTTATGTGGTTAAGCTAGTAGCCCGAGTCGGGCAATTTTTGCGATTGTGTCCGACCTGACGATATAAACCACACTCTCTTTCTAGCTTGTCCAGTGAGTTCATTTCAGTTGTGATGCGCTTTCTTTTAGGATGACCCTTTTTATTCCTTCGCATTTGGTCGTTGTGCCAGACTATTTCACCGCTGTATGCAGGTCAATAATCAGGTTTCACTACCAATGGGAAGTTGTTGTTGTATATGTTGAGCAAGCTTTCAGACTTGTAAATGGGAGATAGAAGTTGTAATGTGTCTTGATGAGTATAGGCACATGCCGTAATGACATGAGAGAAAGGAATACGAAATGCTTGAAACTTTCCACAAAATCGCACTAACGAGAAGGTAGTATAACCCTATACTCTTGTCTTGGCAGCCCCTCATTATGGTCGATTGTATCTTTGACAATGAAGTTATGGTTGTGTCGGTCGAACCATATAACCAGATGGGTGTTGGCTTTAGCACTTTCTGCCTTAATATACTTCATGCAGCTTTCACTCCATAGTTGTCCCGATTGCAAGACAACATTCCACATTTCACCTCTTTTGGAAAACAACGAAGCCATCCTAAAATATGTTGATTTAACCAATGCAGTTAATGGGAGGTTTCGTATGCCTTTGAATACCTTGTTCATGGATTCAATCAGATTTGTTGTCATGTGGCCCCATCGTTGTCCATTGTCGTATGACCTAGTTCATTTCTCCACCGGAATATTATTGATCTACCTACATGCGTCTGGATTTGACAATCTGATCTTGTTGCGATAGTGTTT